GAAAAATATGCCCGGCCACGGTGGGATTCGAACCTACGACCTTTGGAATACTAGCCCAATGCTCTTCCAACTGAGCTACGCGGTCAGGACGGTTCGACACATTGGTATTGAAGGAACTAGATATTGTTCCGAACAACACATTGGTATTGAAGGAACTAGATACTGTTCCGAAATATCACTTACTCGAACCGTCCTGACCGCGTAGCTCAGTTGGAAGAGCATTGGGCTAGTATTCCAAAGGTCGTAGGTTCGAATCCCACCGTGGCCGGGCATATTTTTCAAGCTCACCCGGTGTGGATATGCACTCAGAGTAACATCGCAAACATATTATTCACCTGAGTACACAACACCAACACAGAAAAAAATTCAAAATACTATGTTATTGACAAGGTTGGGGCGCATTCGCCAGCGAAACCTCGATAAAATTCAAAATAAATAAGTTTATTTTTAGACCAAAGTTGAATTAAGTTTGGCACATGAGTGGTGCGGCGTATGAATCAATGTCGCTCCAACGTCGCATAATGCGACAAGCTCTGCCGAACTTGTGTCGAACTTTTGCCGCTCCAAATTCTGCCGTACTTAATTCATTCATACGTCGCTCTTCTGCCGTACCTAATTCATCAATTAAGTTCGGCGCATGAGAAGTACGCCGTCTGAAACGGGCCTTACTTTCTTAATTAACTGCGTTTATCCTAACCTGTCAACTGTCAACTGTCAACCCTGTCAACTTTCCCTGTGGGAGGAAGCCGGAGCACCCGGAGAAAACCCACGACTTTCGGTAAAACGTGTCTGTAGCGAGAATCGAACCCACGAACTCAGAGGTGAAAGGCGTTTGTTTTGACGACTTGTGCTCCAAAATAGAAATTCCCTGGTTTTTGCAGTTACATGTGCAATTTCGCATGTTTTAATGGAGTTTGTGAATACAAACTGATATAGAAATCTTCCCTGACGGATTTGTTGGCAATTCATGATGCAATGTGAGCTAACTATAAGTGCGGACTTCAACTTTCATTAGTATTCCTGACTTAAAGATATTAAAGTTTGGCTTTGAAATAATATACACTTAATGTCTGCTCCTGAAGGAAATATAGTTCGATTGACTTTTGTCTTCCCGAGACGAAGTCGAGGGAAACATTGAGATTTCTGGGGAAACAAAACTATTTCCCGAGGGAACAGACATCAAGTGCTTTGTAATATAGCGACGAAAGAAACATCAACAATATTCATACAACATTTGTATTTCATGACAAAAACTCGAGTGAAAGTTTAAAATTTAAAAAACCTACTTAAACGGTAATTGAACAGCATATTATGTCACCTGTTGTGTATTGTTCTTCTCTTTTGCATTCCTTACTTTGACACAAATTTGGAAAATATTATACCTTATAAAACTTGCGAATTGTGCCGCCATATTGTTTCTTTATGTACGCTGCCGGTCGGGCTGGGCAAACATTTTACACATGTTGCCCGCGAGATACATTGCATTTATCTAAAGCCAGGTGATCACAAATCAGCCAATCACGTTTGGTGTTCATCCCAGCTATATAACAATGACCAATCATTCATAAGCATTTATTCTACCCGTTATGTTTCCTGGCTTGTCCACCTTTGGGAAACATGGCTAGGAAACAATTAGTGTTTCCTAGTTTGTCCACCTTCTGGAAACATGGCTATGAAACAATGTTTCCTGGTTTGTCCACCTTTGGAAAACATGGCTAGGAAACAATGTTTCCTGGTTTGCCCACCTTTGAGAAACATGGCTATGAAACAATGTTTCCTGGTTTGTCCACCTTTGGGCAACATGGCTATGAAACAATGTTTCCTGGTTTGTCCACCTTCTGGAAACATGGCTATGAAACAATGTTTCCTGGTTTGTCCACCTTTGGAAAACATGGTTAGGAAACAATGTTTCCTGGTTTGCCCACCTTTGGGAAACATGGCTAGGAAACAGTGTTTCCTGGTTTGTCCTCCTTTGGGAAACATGGCTAGGAAACAATGTTTCCTGATTTGTCCACCTTTGGGAAACATGGCTAGGAAACAATGTTTCCTGGTTTACCCACCTTTGGGAAACATGGCTAGGAAACAATGGTTCCTGGTTTACCCACCTTTGGGAAACATGGCTAGGAAACAATGTTTCCTGGTTTGTCCACCTTTGGGAAACATGGCTAGGAAACAATGTTTCCTGGTTTGTCCACCTTTGGGAAACATGGCTAGGAAACAATGGTTCCTGGTTTGTCCACCTTTGGGAAACATGGCTAGGAAACAAATGGTTCCTGGTTTATCCACCTTTGGGAAACATGGCTAGGAAACAATGTTTCCTGGTTTATCCACCTTTGGGAAACATGACTAGGAAACAATGTTTCCTGGTTTGCCCACCTTTGGGAAACATGACTAGGAAACAATGTTTCCTGGTTTGCCCACCTTTGGGAAACATGGCTAGGAAACAATGTTTCCTGGTTTATCTACCTTTGGAAAACATGGCTAGGAAACAATGTTTCCTGGTTTATCCACCTTTGGGAAACATGGCTAGGAAACAATGTTTCCTGGTTTATCCACCTTTGGGAAACATGGCTAGGAAACAATGTTTCCTGGTTTATCTACCTTTGGGAAACATGGCTATGAAACAATGGTTCCTGGTTTGTCCACCTTTGGGAAACATGGCTAGGAAACAATGTTTCCTGGTTTATCCACCTTTGGGAAACATGGCTATGAAACAATGGTTCCTGGTTTGTCCACCTTTGGGAAACATGGCTAGGAAACAATGTTTCCTGGTTTGTCGACCGTCAGGAAACATCAAACATGGCTAAGAAACAATTAATGTTTCCTGGTTTGTCCACCTTCTGCAAACATGGCTAGGAAACAATGTTTCCTGGTTTATCCGCCTTTGGGAAACATGGCTATGAAACAATGGTTCCTGGTTTGTCCACCTTTGGGAAACATGGCTAGGAAACAATGTTTCCTGGTTTGTCGACCTTCAGGAAACATCAAACATGGCTAAGAAACAATTAATGTTTCCTGGTTTGTCCACCTTCTGCAAACATGGACAGGAAACAATGTTTCTTGGTTTGTCCACCTTTGGAAAACATGTCCAGGAAACAATGCTTCCTTGTCCGTCCAACCCTCAGCAACCATGGCTAGGAAACAATGTTTCCTGGTTTGCCCAGAGCTTCACTCACAAACGATAGTTATACAATCCTGCAAACTCACCCAATTAGTGTTCTTCCCAGATCCACACCGTTGGTTTTTATCACTTGGTAAGCCCGCCACACAATCATCCACAGAAGGCAGTCAGATTGCGTCATTGGTCACTGATGGGAATTTTAAGGATGATGACTCGGAATGCGCGAAGACCACAATCTCCGATAATCCGTATGTGGAACTTGACCTTGGCAACGATACACTCATTTATGCTGTTGCATTTGTGTTACCTGGATCTCAAGAATCATACCCTAACATAAAAGTCACGGTCTCGAGTAAGTCAAGTATGCTCTATAAATCCCCCTCTCAAAAAATTATGTTTGCCTCATTTGAAAGAATGTTAAGATTATTTACAAATCCTTTTCACAAATTCTCCCAAACATCTTAGTTTTTCAGATAATTAGGGAGTGTTCATTATTTATACCTGGGGTTGGTACCGAAGAGAAACTAATCGAAAAGAGAAAAAAACAACCACCCACCCTTTCGATCAACCATTTTTTCCCCTACCCAACTATTGCATGACTTGGATTTTTATTTTACCCTATCCAATTTCAAAATTATACAAGTATTTTACATATATACATATATATTATTATACAAGCTAGGCCACTATAGTATAAACAGTACTATGCATATTTGGTGCATGCACTAACTGAATGTCGAATATAATCATTTGTACCTTCACAAGTTCATATTATGTTCCCAAGCCTCCAAGTTCCTGATATCTTGTTGTTGTAATCAGAGGGGATGGGGAGTTGGAGTTTAGTTTTCTTTGTGGGGAATGAATGGATATTTCCTGGAATGACCGATTTTGTTAAATAAAGGATTTTCATATTTTGTTCAATTGAAGGTTTGTATTGAAAATAATTTATCCAACCATAGGCTTTGTTCAAAAAATATATACCCAACCCTTCATACCCCAGAAAAATGGCTTACCCAACCCATTTCTCTTCGGTACCAACCCCGGGTATAAATAATGAACACTCCCTTATTTGAAACCAAAATATCCTGCCATCCGCCATCTAGATTTATTACATGCAGTGTTGTAACGAGTCACCTACAGGTCGAGTCACGAGTCGAGTCACTCAAAGGTCGAGTCACGAGTCGAGTCGAGTCATTTCAGTTTTTGATCGAGTCGAGTCGAGTCGAGTCAGTGGCTTCACTCGAGTCGAGTCGAGTCAGCGGCTTCACTCGAGTCAAGTCGAGTCACTGATTTAAGTCGAGTCGAGTCAATTTCTAGACTTTACTTGAGCTACCCTAGCTTGCTGTCGGAAATTAGTAATCAAATTTGCGTTTTAAACTAATTACTTTAGTCATTTAAATTAATAACAGTATCTGGGCAGCTATAGGCTGTGCCAATATCACAGTTCCAGTCAACCACGTGAGATGTCTCACATCATACCTGCTGATCGAGTGTACGTACATACAACTAGCAAAACTTGCAACTGGAGTCAGAATTAACAAAGAATAGACTTTAATTAACAACGCTTTGTAAGTTGATTTGAAATTATATAGCCCTTCATAAATACCAAAAATGAAAATAGCCTGTCAGAATTAGTATAAGTACAAAACATTTTGAGACTTAATTTTAAAAAACTGTGGCACTAGCGTTGTTTCTAAAAACAGAAATGTAATATAGGTATGCCCGTCAGGAATATATTCTATGCAAATCCCATATATTTTCTGATAAAGTTTCAAAGTTCTCATTATTTACAGGGCTCATTGTTCTTCCCAAGCAATACAATCACAATAATTGTGATGAATTTACTCTGTACAAGTTGTAGCTGAGTTGACTCGAGTCATTTACGGCAAAATCAGCAAGTCGAGTCCGAGTCGAGTCATTTGGGACTGTTGACTCGAGTCGAGTCGAGTCATTTTTCGTATTGGACTCGAGTCGAGTCGCTGAAAATAGCGACTCGAGTTGACTCGAGTCAGAGTCAATGACTCGACTCGTTACAACACTGAATTTACATGTGACGTCAAAACCAGAGTAGACATTTTAGAAATAAAAAAATATTATCAGTGGAAAGTTTTTACATAGCTTGTGCTTTAATTTTAAAATAAACAACAGTAAAACATAGGATTTATCATTAAAATACTCATTAATAATTCATGAAGAAAATTCAATATGAATGTTTAATCAATGAATGTTTAATCAATGTTTGTAAATCGGATAAAGTTTGTCCTGATTTACATAAACTTCAGCTTTGATTTTCTCGGCTTAGGTAATGTTTATATCTAAAATTACTTCGCCAATGAACTCATAAGATGGGTCGTTTTTTAAGCACGTTAAAACACGAGCAGCCAATCTTTATCTGATATACAAAATCTCGCCTTCGGCTCGAGTTTGTATATTGGATAAAGATCGGCTGCTCGTGTTTTAACTAGTACTTAAAATGTCCTGAGAATTGGTCAAGATATAGAAAATAATGTTTCCCTGGTACTGTGATGTCACGCATCTCAGATGATGGATAAGATGGCGGAATGCATAACAATTTTGTTTGAAATGAAGCGTAATACCTCTTATATCAAGACTGATACGGAAAATCCGTAAAAAGGTTTTGAAACATATTGAATCCCTGTTCCAAATGGGAGAAACCTTTTATTGCTATTTCCCTTAAAATATAATACTAATAATTATAAATACTAAACATATACCAACAACCATTTTCAAAACAATTGAAAAAATGTGTTCGTTGGATACGAATTGGATCAAATTGGCTCCTGGGTTGTACGAAGGCTGGATAGCGTTACCCATCGTAGAGTGCACCTCTCTCCTCCGCAGAGCCTCCTTAAGTATTATTTAAAAATAACTTACATGAAGTTTCCTGAATAAAAGTGAGCGCGCGTGGTGTGATGGGAAGATTGAAATGAAGTTGGGGAGAGATCGGAAGAGC